ATTTGTAATAATTGCGGAGGTTGTCTGTGATCTTAATCCCGTGCGAATCGGCCATGTCTGTAATTTGTAAAGTAAAAATTCCCCCGCAAATGACCTACCATATTTCGCCGAACACCGAGGTCCTGTGATAATATTAGTCCCGTGCGAATTGGCATCTCTGTGATTCGGCCAGCATTTGGCGGGTCGCATATAATTTTTCGAGGCTTTTGTTTGCTGTGTGCTTTTTTATCTATCTTTCGCGAAGAATGGAGTTGCGCTGCATATCGCTACACCATACAATTTGCAGAAAGAGAAAGCTGAAAAGGTTTTGAGGTTAATGTGTTACAAATAAATCAAGCATAAAGCTTGAGATATTATTTTAACCTGGTGAAATGTAAATGACACAGCGCACGAAACTATATTAGTTTCTTTTTTTTTAAATCCATCTGGACCATACAACAGGACTCTCAAAGCCTTGACATCCGAATATCCGGGAGACAAGTCAGTAAATTCGAGTAAAATCACAGGCTTTGCTTATGCCGATGGCCAGTCCATCGTAGAGCTAAAACACACACACATATGGACAATTTATTGTCTCCAGTTGGCCAGTCTAACAGATCTAGTTTAATTAAGATAACATGCTAACACTCTCCCTGACTTTGTAAATCTCTTTGATTAAAAAGAGTCAGTAATTATCATAGGGAAAAACATGTGAGGTGAGAACAGACCTCCTTTTCCTTTTAAATGGATTGTCTGGTGCTGGTGATCAATAATCACAATTGATTTTGGTCAAACAGCTGTGAAGCTACAATCCATTCAAAGGTTTTCAAAGAAATGAACAATAAATACGTTGAAAGATGATTACCTTTGTAGAGAAGAAGAATTTACGCTACAAAGAGCAGTGAATAATACAAAGGGATCACACTCTTCTTTAAAGCATGTTTACTAAAGAAAGAAAATTTGCATTCAAAGACAGCATATCTTATTGACAGTCAAGATGATTTGCAGATTCTATTGAAGAGATGCCAGCATCATTTAGCAGGCGAATGTTGAACACACATGCCTTATCCAAGATGAAGCTGCAATGAGTTCACTTTGAGCATCAAAGACACATATGGGGATAATATTACAGATAAACTACATGATTGTAATATGACTTCCAGATATGTCTTCTGTCTTTGTCCGGGTATGCATGACTAAGGTTGTGCAGTTACAGCAGTTTTGAACCACTTGTTTTTGTCCATTTATTAAACTTTTAACTTTTGCAACTAGATCTTTAAATTTTTTTTCTGAAGAAAACCTTGTCTTTGCAATATTTGCCTCTATATTACTGTGTGGTTGCTGACTGAGCCAAGTTTAACTTACCCTCAAGTTATAAGTCTGTATAATATGATTCAGAACTATATTTCTGTCATGACAACTCTCGGAAGGTTTAGCATGGTAATCTTGGCCGAATAGATCTGCTACGAGACTCGCTACTGCCAATACATCCACAAACATGCTGCTGTGAGCATGTAAGAAATACTGCTGCACATATAACAGACATTAAATTACCCCCGCATATATAACATACATAGAATCACCCCATAGTAGATCTATACAGGTGGAGCTGGGGAAGGGGGAGGATTTCTGAAGTGCGCTGCAACTGCTACAGAAAGTCCTAGCCAAGTACTTGTATAATGAGCAACAAAGCTAATTGGATGCTGATGCAACTAAAACCAGTCAGCTGCTCCATGTGAGTAATGATGTGATAATATCATATAGAGTGGCCTGCGCCATCTAGAGTTTCATGGCAGAGCTTTGTATGTACGGATCAGGGACCTCCTTCAGAGTAAATTTAAGACTTTTTTCTTAAACATTTCACACTAGCACAGTTGATATCAGAGTTCAGTTACTTCGGATGATATGAACGCTGTTTTCTAAGTGCAGGTGCGTACCTACGAACAGCAGTCTGGGGTATGTTTTAGGTGATCTAGTGTGAAAGCAATCATCATGTAGTAAATTGTAAAAGTGAAGCACTATTGATTATGTATGATTTGGTCAAATTATGTTCCTGACAAGCGGGACTGAGGCCATGTTTATACCTGGTATCAAGACGGTTTTTAGTGAACCGATCTATGTTGCATGGCTTATGAGTGAGATTCCCATAATCCCACAAATGAGACATAATCTGTGCACTGTACTTTTGATACAATTCAGTTTCAATTACTTGTTTTGGTGTGCTTTCTCACAACATGTTCCTGAACGATCACATATGAGTGGGTGGCAAGTGGGCAGAGTGTGGTCCGGGACATGTTCGGGACAGATGAGCACTACACATGCAATCTGGTCTCATGCGTTTCTGACTACCCATGTAGTTTTAGTGATCCGATCACCAAATGTTTTAGACCTTGCATTTAGCATATTTAGACATTGTCTACACTGTATTTAGCGCTGACCACTTGTGATCCAATCACAAAAATTGGATGTTACTGGCAGATGTAAACAGTGACTCTGCTCTTTTGAACTTTTGCAATAAGTTTGTGGAAAGAAAAACACATTTTCAAAAACCAAAGTCCAAAAGTAAGGATAGCAATATTATCTATTTTACTGCCATTTCATGGGTTGTTGTTTCCTATAGCAGCAGGCGTAAAAACAATTGCTGTCTCAAAGACAAATGTACTGTGGTTCTGACCCAAAAAGTACAATCGTGAACAGAATCCAGCAGGGAGAATAGCAATCAAACTCTGATTCAGACCAAGCAATTGTATCAAATATGAAAGTACCCTAAGAACAACTGGCGAAAATCATCTTGCTCACTCAAAGTGCTAGTATAGTTATCCTCACCAAGATGCATGATTAAAGATATCGTTCGGGGAGCACCAATGTTGCAGGACGAGTTACCAAAAAAATTGACCACATGTTCTCTCTTCATCTCTCAGACTGCATCTGTCTGCACCCTCCCCCACTTCTTTCTTTCAGTCGATCCCTCATTAGTCTCACTGAGGTCGGTTCACACCTCATTGCCACCTCCATTCATTACTGTATTTGGTGATAAGCCCCCTTTAGTAAGTCAATGGGACCCTTTCAGATTCAACTGCCTGCTTGCTTGCCAGAAGAACAAGAGGGGGCCTAACAGACAATTCGTTTAGATTTATTCCTAGGCTTTGCCATTGTGGGAAATAAGCTGAGAGGAACACTTCCTCTTTTCAGAGAATGTACCTTTTGGGTCTTACCAGCATCTGGTCTCATAAGTAGAGTTAGGGATGACTAAACCATTTGATGGTCTAATGGGCAGAAGGGGTATATAGTCATTTCTCTGTCACTGGGAAAATAATGTTAAAGTAACTGATGTTTCAATAAAACGTGTCAAAAGAAAAGAAAACAGACAAGGAAACATTAGTCCTGGGGCCCTTTTGGAACATGAGTGCACATTGCAGCGGCGTCTGCTGTCTCCTTCTTGGACTTTGCTGTTGTTTGGGGAGCAAATTGGGTCAATAAAGGTTTTAGTAGAGAGAAAATTGCCACCTCAAGCCCTGTGAGGAAACCTCACAACTGTGAACAGAACACCACCAAACAAATAAACAATGTTCAAAATTGGAATTTCAGAGGAAACTGTTTGGTTGTTTCTCAGAATGGAATACGTCACACTTGTAATGTTTCTGTTTTTACTTTTTAAGATGTTTATTTTTCCTTTTAATCATATCTTTTAATATAGCTTGAAAAATGTGTCTTTGCCAGGTCCATTGTAAAATTTCGCAGGATAAACATTTTATGTTCTCTCCTGAACTCACTGAGTATAGGCTCTAATAGTGGGGGCCCCTTCATTACAGAGCCAGGACAAGGGCCCCCAACAATGGCCGTGCCGCTACTTAAGCAGACGCTTCAAGGATCCACGGATGTTTTCTATGCTATAGTACCTTCAAACCAATTGGAATTTGAATAAAACAGGAGATGTTAATCTGGAGTTCGACCGAACCTTTTCCTGCTGTTCAGATAATACATTTGCAAGCTCTTAACTTTGTTGTGGTCATCTTTACTATGCAAACACAAACGTGTCAGGGGTGTGTGGACATTGTTGTCACAAATAGAAAGAATGAACGGAACAGCCTTATCTACGGAAGATAACGCAAACTTATCAGTCATTCCATCTATCTAACAATGTCGTTAAAGCATTTAGAATGTTATCGTATTTATCTTAATGGGTAGTTCATGCATAACGTGGACATTATTATTTTTTTATTTACCTGGCTTATCATATAATACAATACAGTACGATACGATACGATACAACACAACGATGTTGTAGCTATATTGAACATTTAGAATGTCATTGTTTTTCTTTTGAGCGAGGTATTTTATAGGGGTTTTAAGAGGGGCTCGGTTTGACAGAAACTACAATCCCAGGATGCACTGGGTGAGCTGTTTGGTAGTCCTGAGGTGTTAGTGATGGAGGGGGAGTCAGGTCTTTCTGCCCACACACGCTCCTCCATCCGTGAGTGCGGAATCCAGCTGTATCCTCTAAAGTGCTGGGGCAGGCCGACGACACGGACTACAAACCAGTAAAAAGATACAAAAGTAAAGTTAGTTTCCGGCGGCTAGACCAATTAATACAGAGCGACTCAAGTAAAATCGCATTTGAACGTTTCGATTAGATTGACTTTAAGAGTCGGGACTGCCGACCGAAGTAGAGATTGAGGTAAAAGTTTCCCCCCCTCTAACGTTACCTTCTTTTCGCACGAACGCAAACAAAAACCGCACGGGTGGCATTTTCAGAAGAAAACCAGACGAACCCGGTCGGGAGTCGCTTCGTTGGGTCTGTAAGTGAGTCTTTAACGTTGTGATACTCAACCGAAATCGTCTCGACGCGATCTTGAGGACGAGCACGCGTCCCTGCTGAGCGTTTTCACTGATCTCAAACGATTCTCGGACGAGTCGAAAGAAAGCGTTACATCCCAGTGATTTCATGAAAACCAAAAGGGCTACGACAGAGGAAGAAATGTGGAGGTTCGTCTAGTGACTATTTGGGAGTCTGTATTTTATGAACTTCTGAATCTAATCAGGGATTGACAATTTTGTAATATTCAGAGAGGATTTGTTCCAGAAAGGAAAAGGTGAGTAACGCCGGTAAATGGACTCTAGCATGTTCGTCTGTTAAAAAATACAAAATACAAATGCTTTGCTGTTTTATGGAATTATAATAATAGGCTACTATAGTAGTGTTTGTATAAAAACGCTTATACGCTATAAAACACGCATTTTGGGAAGAGTTAGATGACAGTGAAATTTCCAGAAACGCGTATATAGGCTACTATTTAGGTTGTTTATTTCAATTTATATTCTCCTCTTGTCCACTCACTATTTTGCACCGTGTCTTGAATAATTTTAATTTGTTATATTTGTCTCTTTTAACCAAAAGAGGTTAATATAGCTGCATTAATAACCATTTTTTTTTTAAATTAATTTGAAATGAATGTGAAGTAATTCTGACTGAGCAGTTTACATGTAAATTGTGTCTCAGGCTGACTGGGGGTTTTCTGTATGTTTGAGGGATCTCATTAGCTTTCATCATCAGATGGCTCCAAATCTGATCTGTTGTGGGAGCAATTGATGCTATGCCTGTACTGCCATCTCATATCTGAAGCCATCCAGTACAGTAGCCTACAAAAGAAAAGCTTTCTCAGCAACTTTAGCAAGAGTAGCTTAAGCCACTACATCTCTCTTGTAGATACAGGTAAATACAACCTTTCCTGTTTCACTGAGTGGCTTCTGTGCATAAGGTGTTGTGGTTTGTTCAGCATGAGTAACAACTCTGAGCGAATACATTTCTTGGTATTTTTACTAGCCAGAGATTGGTCCCTGACAGTTACCTTTTAGTTTGAGTAGCACTATTTTATTGTATTTTTGTATTATTATTTAGTTTATTTGTAATTATTGTTATTGTGTAAGTGCAGTAGCCTATTGGCCCACCATCTTTGAGGATTTGCAGATTCCCTTTGCCAAAATAAATGCCTGAAGGTATCTTGATGTAAAAGGCAGGTCTGTTCTTGCAGTTGTTCATCTTCCCACAGTAAAGGACAAACAACATAAATATACTGAAGCATGAGTTTGGATCTCCCTGTGGCGGAAAGATAATTCATAAAAAACATCGTACAGATACATGAGACACATTAAGTCCTGGAAGCTTTTCAGTGTTTTCAATGAAAGAAAAAGACTCTCCTGCTGAAAGACACTTTTATGTCCTTATTTGGGCAGCTGAAGAAATGTAACTTTCACAGAGATTAATACATTTTAATATTTATTATATTGTATTGTGTGTGTGTGTGTGTATATATATATGTATATGTATATGCAGGGGCGTAGCCATCATTTCAGAAGTGAGGGGGACAGAAATGTAATATATATTAAAAAAAAAAAATTATATATATATATATATATAAAACATTACAATATAACATTTCT